GAATCCTAGATCATTACCTTTCGCAGTAATACTTTTCCAGTTTGCTAGGAAAACTTTGTCCTTTGCAATGAAATCAATTTCTATGAAGAAGGTCTCATCACTAGTCATGTGACTTGTTGAGTCAATACACCATCCCAGTGGTATACTGTTCTGAGTCACTTTAACGGTAGCATTCCATGATGTGCCTGCAGTTTTCTTTAGTAGCTGTCTTAGCTCTTTCTCTAGTAAGTGCCTCTCGCTTTCCCTGCTCAGCTCTCCAGATCAAACAGTCCTTTTCCAGGTGACCATTCTTTTTATAACGAAAACACGCTTTCACACTGCTTTCTTTGTTTTGCTTTGCACTCTCATGCTCCTTAAGAGCTTTCTCATTTTCTTCATTGCGCATATTTTCTTCTGTAATATTCATCGAGTAAATTTCCGTTGGCGTATTCTAGTGAGAGGTTCCTGCTCTGGTCTTGCTCTGAGAGGTTTCCTTTGAAGGCCCTGTTTACAGTGCCAAATGAAAATCTCCTCCTCCTTCTGTGGATCCACGCCTCCCGCACCCGCTGACTGACAAAGCGGAATCCCATACACCCCGCATAGCCCACCTGATAGTCCGCACAGCCCACCATAGAACCTGCACAGCCCACTTGAGAGGCCGCACAGCCCACCTGAGAGCCCGTAGAGCCCACCATAGAACCTGCACAGCCACTTGAGAGTCAGCACAGCCTACCATTGACCCCGTCCACCATAATGCTGATTTAGTCCACAATGAAATTGAGTTTGATGCCCCTGTTCTACAGGCATCAGATCCCCTTACATGCAGGACATGCCCCTACAGGCATTAGATCCCCCCTACAGACATCAGATACCCACCTCCATGCAGCACATCCCTCTGTGTTATTTTTAATATAATTTACTTTTTTTTTACTTCACTTTATTACCAACACAAGGATGTTGATATGACACCTATGTGCTAGCATTGTGCAGTGACAGGTTTTCTTTATAGAGACATCAGGTGTCTATTAGAGCCCTAAAGTCTACCCAGAACTGTCCCTGAGCTGACCAAGGACAGAAAGTCCCCACCTGCTACAGCAGCGACTGTCATTTTTTTCAGCTACGAACATGGAAGTACTCAGAACAGAGTGCTTTTTGGTTCACAGTACGGAGGATAGAACAGGTATATGATCTCTACTCCATACAACCCAATTGCATTTCTTAAGTATTTTTTGTGGTCCCAAGTTCCCTGGTGGGTGTCCCATCGAGGGGGCCCCAAACATTCTGCCACCCTTAGAAGTAATCAGGCAACCTTTTAGCTGCCCAGATCCCTTTTTACGCTGTGGCAACGAGCCTACTGATAAAATTTAAGGTTGAACTCCAAACGTAACTTTTTTTCCCCCATGCTTGTAGCAAGTACTTTCCTTTGTTAAAAATGAATACTTTCAATTCCTTGCAAATTTACATCTTCACAATAAAACCCATTGCAGTTTCTCCCCATGATCAGTACTGTTGTTGCCGCCCTCTTCCTTCCCCAGCTATTAGCTTTCTCTGCTATCAGTCATTTTGTTCCTGAACTTCATGTAAAAGAACCCATCACCGGCATCCCTATAGCTGTGTCTGAAACCAGTCAACCAATCAGTAGAGTGCACAGCTAAATTCTGCAGCACCCAGTGGCTATCAGGGCGAAGCAGGCACATGTAAAGGGATGCCTGGATTCTGCTCTCTCATATAATTCTTTGAAAAAAATCTGAGGCAGAAAATTGTAATGTTTACAGAAGCATTTCGGCCCCTCCCACCAAACTAGAGAAGGTATTAAATGCTTACACTACTGCTTTAAAACAAGGTCACAGTTGCTATTGCAGCTGTGGGCTTGTTTAAAACCTTTTCAATCCCATGGCATGTGGCATGTCATTAGTGAAGTACATTACGTGACAAATTGGCTGTACTTTATAAAAAAGCCACATTTAGCACACCCACAGAACTGTTCAGAATCTATTATTAAAGAATTGTTAAGTACATAACACCCACCTGCATTGTAATTTAACCACCTTTGCTGATGACAAGATTCTAAGAACCTACTCATAAAGTCCGAAATAAATAAAAGAGCTTTATAAGCAAGCATTTTAGAAGGCATCATTTGTATGTGTGAATCTGAAGCATTAGACTTGGCTTTGCTACCTGCTTTCATAAAAGTATAACTAAAGGCACTTTGTGTAGAGTAGGGAACGGTAAACAGCACCGCTACACTTGGCATCCCGAGCTGTCTCCTCCCAGCACCGCTCCACTTGGCATCCCGAGCTGTCTCCTCCCAGCACCGCCCTGCTCAGCCTCCTGAAAGCTTGTCTCCTCCACGCTGGGTGCCAGTCTGTGTCCCCTCGAATTCTTGCTGCCTCTGCCAACACGGGGGGTGGGGGGCAGCTGGGATTGGAGGGGACACAGAGTGGCGTCCAGTGGGGAGGAGAGAAGCTAGGGATGCACCCCATTTTCATATGTTATGGTACTATTGGCATTTTGCTCATAGTACCATTTTCATCCCAAATGTTTTGCGGCTAAAATTTCAATGCATCCCTAGTAAACACCTCTGTCAGGTTTTCTTTCCTATTTCTGTTCTATTGGGGAGATTTCACTTCACTTCCTGTCATGCAGAGAAATCTCTCCAAAGTCATGGAAATCCTCTCTGAGACAGTAGTTTCCTGAACTAGTGTCCCCATTGAAGATTTCCCCTCTATTCCTTTTCTGGTGACAACTCAAAAACAAAGAGAGAGTGAATCTCCTAATGGGGGCACATACCGCATTAAGGGCCTGTCAGGGGTGCTAACCCCTCACTGCTTTATCCAGGACTAAAATAAAAGCTTTAGCTTTAGATGCTCGTTAACTCAATTTACTGCTTACTAAACTCTGAACTAAGGAAGCTGCAATTTAGTTAATGTGTGGAAAATTCAAAAGGGACTTTGTTCTACTCTACCTTGTTCTAATCGTTAGGTTTAGTAACCTACAGCAGCCACTGATGTGACTTCAGCAAAATGAATTCTAAATTGTTGCTATGGGTTATTGCTATTAGTATTAGTAGATTAGTAAAAATAATTATTGTGTTTTTAAAAGAGTTTTTTGTGAGGCCATGCTTGGTTATGTTCCTTGTCCCTTGGTTTCCCTTGGTTAGGTTCCTATCATTCTCCACCATTTATGTGCTTTGAAATGTGAGTATAAAATGTTTAGAAATTAACATTATGGAGATTGAGGGAGATGTTAATTTGCGGGTAGGGCATAAGGGTTGGAGGATACAATGGCAATTTTTAGATACCGCAACAGCTACAGGTAGTGCTGGTAGATGGCAAAGGTCTACTTATGTGAATTTTATATAAACACTGAAGTTTTCATTTAATTTTTATGAACAGATTTCAGAGAATGGCAAACCAGATGAGATTTCAGAAACTGTTAACGCTGAATTCCAGTTTGTTTTTATATTCTTACATTGGTCCGGGTTGGCACCATGTAAGTATATATAAATGATCCCTGGCAGGGCCACAGGGATCGTGTCATATGTTGTCCTAGCCACATCTA